GTCAAATAATACATGGAGATATAAAGCCAGATAATTTTTTATTAATGCGACTGTTAGTATTATTTTTTTCTATATCTAGTATCATCTTTCCAGTCTATAAATAATAATAATTAATTTAATAATAATGACGTGGTATGTAATTATTTTCTATGTTAATTTTAAATAAAAAATGTAATAAGTTAAGAACATTTGTATTAACGATCTTTTTTAAAAATTTATCATAATAATTGCACTGTAAAGGAAAGGAATTTCCTGTTCAAAATTAGTAATATTATAATAAGAATAGAAATTTTGATTAATCTTAAATTTGTAAATTGATAACTACATAATTTATTCTTCCCAATTACATTAGATTATAAATATTTTTATAATTACTATATAATCATCAACAGACCTACGCAAGATGTAAGGCCAACTATACAACTGATAGATTTCGGATGTAGCATAGATATGAAATTATTGCCAGAAAATACAACATTTATGCAATATATAAAAACAGAAGATTTTACTTGTATCGAAATGCAAACTGGAAGACCATGGACATATCAGACTGATTTATATTGTCTAGCGGCGACCAGTCATTGTTTACTGTTTGGCAATTACATGAAAGTATCAAATGTGGGCAGCCGTTGGTTTATTGCTTCAAAATTACCAAGGTATACAAGTAATAAACATATGATTAATTCAGAAGAATCATACTTATGTTATATGAACAAATGTTAATGCTGCATATTTTTTCTGTATTATAGGTATGCTAAGAGAGCTGCTTGGGAACAATTTTTTACAGAACTGCTAAATATTGAATCGTGTGAAAAAATGCCCGATCTAGCGAAATTAAGGAATATGATGGAAGAGACACTGGCACAAATGCCAGAGGCGCAAGCGAAATTTCGAACTTTCGTCAATATCCTCAACAAACGATAACGCTTGCTGTATCTGATGATATGTCGAAATGTGTGCACATATTTAGTAAAAAAAACCGACGTGTAATAAGAAACATTAATGTTATTGTACTATTTATTATAAAAAAGTTAATACTACAGTGAGATAAAAATATATATATCTACACAGTTATAATACATGAAAATGCACTTTATGGCCTGCTTCGTGGAGGCTTTTATCGATACTCGTTGCTTGCACATATAATCAACATTATTAGAACTACTGTGCAACGAGTCTAACCCCTTCAAAAATTGTTTCAGACACTCACGAGATATGTGAAGATTTATACGGTAGAAATTTTGGAAATGTACTTGTTACCTCTTAAACGTCATATGCGCTCGCTACGCAAGTTACGAAGAAATGGTTGTACAATATGATCAAGAAAAAGGTCTCAGAAAAATTTAAATCTGTTGCAAAAATGAATAGTACAATATGCATGTGATATACTATGGATTCAATTTGCACGATAGTATGCAGAAGCGCATGCATACTAAGCACTTGAGTACCTTGTATAGATAATTAATATATATGTAATCATTGTATATTTAAAATAGACTTTGACTTTAAGCCATTTAATTCTATTGTCAATGGGTTCATTTTGTTTTTTAATTAATATTCTTCGAAAATATATCGTATCAGTAATGTTAACTGAAATTATTTCAAACATTCTCCCCAAATACATATTACTTACGCAGAGCAGTGAACTCATTTTTTTACAAAATGGTACATGTATATTATATAACGATGCAATTTTGATTTGAATATGTGCAGGCTTATTTTTGCGAGTGTCCACTAAACAGGCCTTTTATGTAGTATACGTTTAAGTTAAGATTTCGTAAATATATGCGTATGTACATGACACAATCGACAAAAGTGTCGAAGTTGCGTTTCGATCTTATATTTTATAAATATATACAAGAACTTTTGGTTGTCTTTTAAAATATTAATATTATAAATTTAAATAATTTATTAATATTAATATTAAATTATAATTATTATATATATAATATTAGTATCAACTATAAAATATATTAGTAATAAAAATTATAAATATTATAATAATATTAAATTATATAAACATACACATCGGGACCAGTGTATGTGTATACGTTTAAATAAATCGTAATTGACAACCTATTGTTCTTGTTTAAATTTATGAGACTATATGCCTTATCTTATTTTAACAGTAACGTAAAGAAAAAAAATATATGTTCAGATATAAATACGCCAAGCTTTAAGATTAAAAACAGTTAAGATACTGTAAAATACATTTATTAAAATTGATAAGGTCAAGATATATAAATGTGTAGTGTATTTGTGTGTGCGTGTGCGTGTGTGTGTGTGTGTACATAAAATATTCCGATTTACCTTTCAGTGCTGAAACTACATATTACAATGTTAATTTTGAATAAATTAAAAAATTTTGTTTATAATTATTATCATTATACAGAGTGTTTGAGAAGTAATGAAAAGTTTTGTTACAAAGGGATAGAAATAGACTAAACTGAGAGGAAGTCCTCTACCATCTTACAATTTTCGCAATAGTTAACGAGATATTAATTTATCAAAATATCCAAATTCGTCCGGCCCACCGCCAAATGCAAGCGCGCGGCTGGATATGACCGCCCAGCGAAGCACTTCGGCGGTGGGCCGGGCGAATTTGGATATTTTTATAAATTAATATCTCATTAACTATTGCGGAAATTGTAAGATGGTAGAGGACCTCTTCTCAGTTTAGTCTATTTCTATCCCTTTGTAACAAAACTTTTCATCACTTTTCAAACACCTTGTATATTTATCATATAATTGTTTGAAAAACAGTTGATTTTTATAGATTAAATTTTATTTCAAAATCATATTTTTTCAACAAATTATCTGGTGTAAAACTCGTATTTGGAAATTTACAATCTCTTTCTTCCCCCATGGAGATTTTTAAAAAATTTGAATTTTGATAGTAAACATTTAGCGAAATCTGATTGTTGCGTACATATACACTGAAATATACAATATCAAAAAATCAATTATTACGTTAAATGAAGAATTAGATAGAGTAAAAATTTGAATACAATCAATAATCATATATAAAAAATGTAATCGCAATAGAAACCGAATTTATAACAGGAAGAAAAGTAGAATGCTATATTTGTATGATATCTAAATGATTTATAGTATACATTTTATTTTAAAGCACCGTAAATATAAGAAACCACTTTTAACATTTATTAGTTATACTTTCTCTATTCACTCATATCAATCAGTACCTCCTTTTTTCTATATCATTAAATCTACTTAAATATGCTTAGGATACATAGCTAGGTAGACTTTCATTTTCTGCTTTTAATAAGAATTACCAGTATATAACAATTGTGATAAAGATATTATATTTAATGACAAGGTATGAAAACTTCTCCGGAAAAGGCGCCTTCTTTCTTTGAGGTGGCCCATGACTTCTATTCCATATTCATATTGGTCAGTAACATAAGGGCTGCGCACAATAGGAGAAATATTAGGAACAGATATTAAATATAAGAATTTTAACCTATCAGAAATGTGTGCTTTCTGACAGGTTAATATTTCTCCTATTGTGCGTCGCCCTAACGATACCCCCAATCTCCCATAAAAACGATGAATAAGGGCTGCGCACAATGAACGAACAGATATTAACCTATCAGAATCGTGTATTCCGGTGTAACTGGTATCTGATAGGTTAAAGCCCGTGGCATATACAAAACGTAAGGCCATAAAACGTAATCAGTAAGCGAATTGGCCAATCACAGTAGAGACCGTAAAAGTTGGATTATACTGGCCGTAATCTGTTAACTTATGCTGTAATCTGTAAAAATTGACCAATTATAATCGATTATTCCCCTCTCATTCGACTGTGATTGGTCAATTTTTTACAGATTACGGCATAAGTTAACAGTTTACGGCCAGTATAAATCAACCTTAAGGGTGCAAACCCATGCAGCGGAATAGCGTAACGCGGAACGAGAGCAGAACCAATAACGAGCATTCCGTGTTTCTAGAGAAACTCGTGATTGGTTCTACTTTTGTTCCGCGTTATGCTATTCCGCTGCATGGGTTTACACCCTAAGGCCGGTAGCGAATCCAATGTTAAGCGGGGAGCACAGACTTTTGCATAACGCATAAACCATATACATAAAGAATTTGATTGGTCCAATGACTCATGCATAAGAAAATGGACCAATGAAATTCCTTATGCACATGCTTTATGCGTTATGCAAAAGTCTGTGCTCCCCGGTTTACGATTTCCTTATTAATACGTCTTACGGCCTTACGTTTTACTATGTGTTTCTGGCTTAATATTTTAATCAGAGAGAAGCCTGAAGAGCGGCCATGCCCGGGATTTTATCTGTCACTTTGCAATATATTGCAAAAAAAGATAAGAAAATAGATAAGTAAATAAATAAATAAATATATAAATATTATAAATGTACTTGGAACATTGTCTCTTGGAACATTGTCCTCTATATATTCCATTGGAATTGCGTCACGTTTCAGCCTGATTCGTACATTTCCAGAATCTTTTACTAAATTCTGTAACCATGATTTATCTTCAAATTGAGTAGGATGGAAATGTTGAGAGCAGACACGAGCTATAAATTCAATAAAAAATTATTTAATAAATTCTTTAATATTTTCAATTATTTTTTACTTTCATAAATTCATTATATATACCAATTTTAGGATTAACATTTTCTTTACATAAAACTTTCCATTTTCCAATTAATGCTTCATCTTTTGGAAAACATAAATAACTTATTTCTTTATTTTTTGTGTTGTGCGATTATTATGACAGCTCCTTATAGAACACGACGGCATAGCATAAAATAAAAATAACACTTTAACTTTTAACCTGCGACTGCCACTTTAACTTAACTTTTAATTTTGAATGCGACTGACACTTGATTTTCTACATGTGAGCATGTGTGAAGATGGCGGATTTCAGTCTATGCGCAGAACGTGACGAAAATGCGTCCAAGAATTGAGCACACCTTTATACTTCCACCATGCTTAATATCTCGGTTTGCGGGGTAGAGCAATGTTTATGTCTGTCAGATTCTTTGGTTTCATACAAAAACACGTCGAATAAAACTAGTTTCATCAAAATCGGCAAACAGGACAAAATTCTTGGGTATTACCATCATATTTTTATCAAAATTTAAGGTGGATGAAGCATTCTTTACATTAAAAATATCAAATGTGGAAGCAATATAAACTACTGTATGGTAGAGGCGCAGTGCAAGGGAGAAAGATTTTTTCTCGCAGTTATCAAACTGGGGAAGTGGCCACAAAGGTAACCGACGTGACATCAGAATATGCATTTCCTAAGGAAGCACGAGTTGTTATATGTGGAGGTGGAGTTATGGGTGGTGCTGTGGCATACCACTTGTCCCTCATAGGACTGGGACCAGAGACTATTTTGGTAGAAAGTGGCAGGTACATAGATATTGTTTTTAAATATATTTTTCTTAACAAAAACTATTTAAAAAATTTTTTTTTATTTTATTATTCTATTTTTCTCTTATGTATTCTTTATATATTTGTTATCAGATTAGGAGGCGGAACAACATGGCATGCATCAGGATTAGTAGGAGCTTTTAAACCAAGTCTGGCACAAGTAAAACTTGCTCAGGATAGTATTACTTTATATAAGGAGTTGGAGAAAAAAGGCCTTTCGACAGGATGGAAGCAATGTGGCAGTCTTTCCTTAGCACGAACGAGAGACCGCATGACATCGTTCAGACGAATGAAGGCACAATCTGTGTAAATATTTAATAGATATGAAATACCACAATGGATATTTTTGCTTTAACTTTATTAATATTTCAGGTCACGTAATATAGAGTGCCATCTAGTTTCGCCAGAAGAAATTCACGATCTGTGTCCACTGTTGCACGTTGAAGATTTAATAGGAGGATTATGGATTCCAGAAGATGGTGTTGGTGATCCATATCAGATCTGTTTGACTTTGATACAAGAGGCACGACAAAGAGGTATCTCAGACAATTAAAATTAAAATAAAAAATTAGGATATTTAGAAGAATTTAATTATGAACTATTTTTAAGGCTTCTGAGTACTCGGCCAAGAACTCCCGTGTTGATGGTAGCGACACTGAATTAGTCGGCAGCCTGGCGAAACTAGTAGTCGTACACACAAGTACGAACTCCTGTCCGTGTGCTTATTTTCGGGCCGAAACGAGCACACTGAACTCGTACTTGTGTGTGTTACGGCGCTTTGCCACGATATAAGGCTGAACTAATAGGCATGAAAGAGCGACGTTTTGACGACAAAATTTTTCTTGCGTGCATTTTCGTTAATATTTGCTTATTTGTGAAAATGTGACTTGATTCGTCGTGTTCGTGAAAGTCCTAAAAATGAGCGTAAACTACAGTTAACTTGAAATTTTTTACATAAAAGCATATATTTCACTCGTTTCATCGGTTGTTAAACTGCGTTTCTGCCCGTGTATAGGCTCACGTGCTCTTTAGGACCATTTACTGACTATCAAAGGAGGAAAGGACTGTTTCCATTCATTTTTACAAGTGTTTTTAAGTGATCTCGTCATTTACATTTATTCAAATTGTCTTTCTTTACAAATGGCAAGCAACAACAAAAAATTAATGTGCATTTCTCATCTATAACGTTATAATTCCAACATGGCCGTCGCAACTACTCAGGAGCCTTAAATTAAATATATTAACTGCGTTCGGTAATGCAAATCTGAGGCGTCGGAGTGCTCTTATATTATAGAATATGTCACGTGCACTGTAGAAAAAGAGCACTCGGACGCCTCAGATTTGCATTGCCAAACGCAGCTATTCTTTATGTGTTATATTCAGGTGTTACAGTATTTGAGAATTGCGCGGTTACCAAAGTTATTAATCACAGTGGTCAAATAGAAGCGGTGGAAACAACACGCGGTACAATCAAATGTCAACATTTTGTAAATTGTGCTGGATTTTGGGCACGGAATGTGGGAAAACTTAGTGAGCCATATGTCAAGGTCTCATATATATATATATATATATATATGTGTTTATTATATATATAGTTTATTAAATGTGAAGAATAGTCTGACAGAAAACTATATCTTGCGCATTTTCCAGGTACCACTTCATCCAGTAGAACATTATTATTTACACACTAAACCTATTGCTAATTTAGATCCAATGATACCTGTTATACGCGACTTGGATGGATATATCTATTTTCGAGAGAATGAAGGACGTCTGTTAGCTGGTGGTTTCGAGCCAATTGCAAAACCAGCATTTGAAGATGGCATAATTCCCGGTTAGATATAAAAAAATTATTCTAACGTTATATTACGAAACAACTAAAAGAAATACTCGTCGTATTCCATTTTACTAAATTAATTTATTTTTACTTTTTTTTTTAGAAAGCATGGATAAACGATTTTTACCAGAAGATTGGGATCATTTTCATATTTTGCTGGAACAAATGTTGCACAGAATTCCAAGTTTAGGAAACGCCATTTTGGAGAGGCTCTGCAACGGGCCTGAAGCGTTCTCTCCAGATTGCAGATGGATCGTGGGAGAGGCACCAGAAATACGTAATTACTACATCGCTGCCGGAATGAAAACGGTTAGTCGATTAGTTGGTTAAAAATATCTAGTAATAGACTTTCCAAATTCCTCGATATAAGTGATAGCGATTTCCAAAGGTGGGAATATCCGCCGCTGGCGGAGTTGGTCGTGCAACGGCGGAATTAATAGTTAACGGCTCGACTTCGTTAGATATGTACGAGTTAGATGTCTCGCGTTTCCTTGGGCTGCATAACAATCGTAAATTTCTACGCGACCGAGTGCGAGAAGTACCTGGAATGCACTACGCACTACAGTATCCGCACCTCGAGTTTAAAACCGGAAGAAACCTAAGAATGTCACCGATTTATCCAAAGCTTAGAGACGCAGGCGCTGTTTTCGGTCAAGTCATGGGTTATGAGAGACCTTCCTGGTTTCAGCCGGATCATGACTGTGGTATTTCTTACATTTTATCATAACTTTCTACAAAACTCGGAAAATTCATTTCAATATTACAAATATATATTCTTAGTAGATTTGGAGTTTCCTGACGGTTTCCAGAGATACAAAATAGCTTACACTAATACCTTCGGTAAGCCTCCTTGGTTCGACGCGGTTGCACAGGAATATGCCGCTTGCAGAGAAGCAATTGGTTTAAGTGATTATTCCTCCTTTACCAAAATTGACTTATGGGTATCTATTTAAAGGCTCGTGTATCTTACTGCCAATAAATTTACTTAATTTATAATTATCTTGTAGTATCTATTAATGTTTCACTTTTGTATTGCAGTCAAACGACACAGAAGTTGTGGATTTGTTGCAGTATTTGTGCTCAAATGATGTGGATGTGCCTGTGGGAAGTATTATTCACACCGGTATGCAAAATCATCTTGGTGGTTATGAGAATGATTGTAGTTTAGCACGAATCGCATCGAACCAGTAAGTTGGAATGAACAAATTTGCATCACATGATGATCTGTTACTGATAATACAATTAGAAAGGTGATTCTACATGAGAAATTAAATAAAATATAAGTTGCTTATATATATATATATAATCTTCTTTTTTAAAGAAATCGAGAATTAAAAATCGCAGAATTACCATATTTTTTTATTGTATCATCAATAACGCGAATTATGTCTAAAGAAGAGAAATACATTAAAAAACGTTTTCGTTAGTTACATGATGATTGCTCCAACTATTCAACAAACTCGTTGCAAGAATTGGATTCACCGTCATCTGCCGGTAGATGGTTCTGTCGCCGTGTCCGACGTTACTTCAGCGTACACTGCAATTTGCATAATGGGACCGGCCACTAGGAAATTGTTAACTGAATTAACGGACATAGATTTAAATCCAAAGAATTTCCCATTCTTCACATTCAAGGTAATATAATTTTTAGTTAAAAAATTCAATTTATATTATCCGTTTGCATTCTTTCATCAGGAATTAGACGTTGGACTTGCCAATGGCATTCGTACAATGAATTTAACGCATACCGGAGAACTTGGTTATGTGCTGTATATACCAAACGAGGTAAAAATCACAAACAATTCGAATAATTACACATCTTTGCTCTTTCAAGATATATCTCTGTTAAAAACATTTTTTTCTGACTCATAAAGCATGTTCCAAGTTTAACTGTGAGACTTAATTTTATATTTTCAGTTTGCACTGCACGTCTATACAAGACTAATAGAGGCCGGAGCAAAATATGGTATGAAACATGCTGGTTATTATGCAACAAGAGCATTACGCGTTGAAAAGTTTTACGCATTTTGGGGACAAGATCTGGATACCTTTACTACCCCTTTAGAATGCGGAAGATCGTGGAGAGTAAAATTCGATGTAAATATTATTTTAAGGATCAACATTTTTATCAATATTGTTACATGTGAATTCATAAGATAAACCTTCATTTTACAGAAGGAAGTTAATTTTATAGGCAGAGACGCTCTTTTGAAACAACGTGAGCAAGGAGTTCAACGCAAGTATGTACAATTACTGTTAAATGATCATGATCTTGAATTTGATACTTGGTGCTGGGGTGGTGAGCCTATTTATCGAAACGGAAAGTATTGTGGAATGACAACGACTACAGGTTACGGTTTTACATTTAAAAAACAGGTGTATATAGTTTTTCTTTGCCTTTCTAGAAAAAAAGAGAATGTTAAATTAAAACTATTTTTCAGTTGAAATGAGAAAACAAATTGTTTATCATACTAAAGGATTATACTTAACAGAGTCAAATGGTGTATTGCTTATCTTGACGAAAAATCGTGATAAAGTTAATTTTATTATCATATTTATTAAAAAAAAAAAAAAAAATGGTTAACTAAGACACCAAAATATTCCGAAAATTAACAATAATAAGACACCAAAATATTCCGAAAATTAACAATACAAACGTTTGTATTACTCAATTGGCAGAAAATATATCGATATCTTATTTAATAATTTTTAATTTTATTGTCTTTGATAATGATTTCTATCACATTCCTGATGTTTCCCTAAGACAAGCAATACATTATTCGACTCTGCTTAAGTTGTTTTTTAATATGGCATATAATTTGTACGTCTTGGAACTTTTTCATTTTAGCCGAGAAATCACCCTAACATCCTGCTTTTACTCAATCAATCACCAATTTTTTTCTCCTCGAACTAACTTATTGAATCACGTCCACAGGTGTGTCTTGGATTTGTGCAAAATTTTGATTCGAAAGGTCAGCCACAAGAAGTGACAAACGAGTACATATTATCAGGCGATTACGAAGTAAACGTCGCGGGTATCATGTATCCTGCCAAGTGTCATTTACATAGTCCGAATTTACCGACCAAATTTCCTGATAAAGAGAGAGACGCTTATCACGCTACGCGCGATCAACAATCTTTATAATCTCCTATTTAGAAATATTTCAAGTCAAACAATGTGTGTACAAACAATGTATATAGCAAAAGATTGAATAAATCGTTTAATAAGTATCACTCAAAAACTGCTACATTGAAAAATCTAAAAGTCGTAGTAGAAACTCTCCAGGCCAAATAATTATTTAAATAAATTACATTGGACCTGTTATATCTCATATTATTATGTAATAACTTTCTCTTTAAAAATCATATATATATATATATATATATATACATATATTTATACAGGGTATTTTTTATTTCAAAAACATAATGAGATCGAATATTTCGAAAAATATGTAAGATACCAGAAAAATTCAGATGAAAGTTGTACAATCTGAAAAAATGGAAATATTAGTAAAATGAACTTTTGAAGGTCATATAAAGATCACTACCATTTTAAAAAAATGAAATTGCATGATTTTTTTATATATATGCGTTTTTTTAATTCATCGATTGATCAATCGCATTGTGTGCAAAGGTTTTTTGTTTCGTAAAAGCTGCATTTGCACATAATGCGATTGATCATTCGACGAATTAAAAAACTCGCCTATAATTTCTCTAATTATTCCATATATAAAAGTAGAAACTATCGAAGAATCAATAATTTAAGATATTTTATACATTATAGTAGCACATATATTGATATAAAATATCTCGTAAATGATCAATTTTTTTTATAATCGTACCTAATTCTTTTATGAACGAAATCATGAGATGAATCAATTGATTTAAAGAAAACACAGTTTTTTACTTGATATTTTTGAGGTTTTTGCGGGTATTTTCATAGATATCTCGTATATTGATTCTTCAATAGTTTTACATTTTTGTATATGAAATATAATCAGAGGAATTATAAAAAAAGGAATAAAAAAAAATCATGAATTTTTTTTTTTTAATAGCAGCAATCACCATATAATCTTGAAAAATTAATTTTACCAATATTGCCCTTCGTAAAACTTTATTTAAAACATTTTTTCGTATCTTTCGTATCTTCCAAGATATTACATTTGAAATACACCCTGTAAGTGTGAGTGTGTGTGTGTATACATATATATATTTTGTTAATATTCTACGTTATGTCACAGATTTTGAACCATGTCATACACTTAATAATAGTTCCTAAAGCGTATACCTCTTTCTGCAAATATCTGTATCTTGTACAACATATTCCATGCTTTATATCTTTCTGCAGGAATACAAATTTGCAAAATTGTACGCGAGAAATATTCGTTAATTGCATTTGTTGAACACCATTTGTTATTTTATATGAATTGTTCCACCACGATACACTTTATTATCTATATACTGACATTTGTGTCATGTATGCAACATGTGCATACGCACGCGCGCGCATGCGCGCGCGCGCGCACACACACACAATGTGAAATACGTTGTTCAAAAGACCAGTCAGTGAGGTGTATGAGGTTTTGCTCCCCTTAATCGACGTTCCTTCTTATTAAAATATTAACGCAATAATTATCTCACTTACACATTATATAAATCGATACACACTTATTTAAGATTACTTAGCATCTACCCATCTCAAAAATTTAAACGTGATGATACATTTATCCCTACAACTTTTTACACACAATATTCAGTCATTAACTTTCATTTTACTATACACACAGTAAGAATTAAAACGCTCTATCACTCTGGAATATCCGTTTCCGTCGTGGGTACCTGCTTCTGTACCATACATGACCTAGCTACGGATTCGAACAATCTGAAACAATAAGAAATTCCAATTTTTGAAAAAAGAATGAATTGATTGCACGCTAAAAATGTGTGGGTTTAAATTCATGTCCTACATTCAACGCTAAGTGCTACCACATAATTCAGAATTTTATTTTTTTCATTAATATTTTATCAATATAAAATCATGTTGAGATAAAAATGTTTTTGTTCACTTTTTATCGTAACAACAAAATCCAGAAATTAAAATTTGAATCAAAATTAAAGTCTTAATTTAATTTTGTTCAGTTTTAATTTCTTATACTATATTATAAATAATATCGATTTCGATATGATATCGATATGATACTGATAAAAATGCTTCGCCATTATATCGATGATAGTGTTCATCATTCAATACCGGATATAATTTCAGCAATTTAATATAATTTTCAACAATTTAAAAATATAGTTTTTTTTTTTTAAGTAAAGATATAGTTTTTTAGAGTAAAGATATATCGGTGTAAAATTGAAATTATCTCGATATTTAATTTCTAAAAATTAGAAAATAAGAACTTACTTCTCAATCTCCGGCGCGCAATGTACAAACTCGTGTGACCAAAATTTATACGTCGGATTCTTGATCAGTTCGATGAATGTGATGAGAAGTCCCCACGGATGTGGTCTGTTTACAATCAGTCTTTCCAGAAGAACCCTCGTGATCTGTTCCTGTATCGCTTCCGTATTCGCTTCCGCGAATAAGTAGAGAATCGTACAACTGAAGTAATGCGTGTGACTGTTAGGATATCGTAACTGATTCGCTATGGCGTTTAGGAACAAATATCGACCTTCGGTATCCAGATCTACGGCCAAATTCTGGAAAATATCCATGTGTGCGGAATGTGCAATAGTAGACATGTTGGGAGCATGGCCTTTGCTGCGAATAAATGATATAGCCTGCGAGCCTACGTACAGCACTAGAGCATTCATCAGCTGAATATTATAACGCACACCGGCCTCTTGCGACACTTGCAAATTGCTACGAAGTTCAGATAGAAAGGTGACCGGTGCACGAGCCTTCAAATAAGAATCGAGTTCTTTCTTGAAAGTCAACGGTTGTATTGTTGACGCGAAATTAGTGAGAACACGCGGAGCGTGCGCTATCTCCTGCAGCATATCAACCTTCAGATTCGGCGTGAACGGATCGGGTAGGCGCATATTTCTCGGAAACGCACTCAAGATCAGATTTCTCATTTGTATGCAATTCGGTGGTATCACATCGCAAAATCCATAATGATAATCGCAAAGGAACTCCGGAAAGTCATGAAGCAGTACGAGCAACACACGTAGGGTCCCTTTGTACAGACTCGTCACAGGCTTCGCTAGCTCCGCGTTTCGAAGATAAGGTGCGAGGTACTTGAATAGATCGATAAGAAGTTGCGCGTACATCCCCCAACATTTTTGCTGTGGCGTAATAGCCAGCATGCGACCAATGAAGACTCGATGCGAAACCAATTCCAGCCAGGCATAACAAAAGCCTGACGCTTTTGCTGGTCGTAAAATGTGAAGAGTATGACAGAAAGCAGTTAGAACTTGGAAATTCACGGCCTCCAATACCGGCTCGGGCGCGCATAATTCCAAGAAAAGCATGATAAAGATTCTATGATACGGCAGTTGTTGGAAATCAGTGCCACGTATTTCGTGATCCTGTAACAGAACACCGGCTACAATACCTAGCACCTTATTCAAAAGATTTATTTTGGTATGAGTATTAGTAGCATCGCCCGAGTGCTTCACTAGGAGTGCTACGAGACGTACGAACGCATCCAATGAATGGAAGCACTTCGCACGTATTATCGAGGGAGCTAAGCCAGTTTCTGATAGAGTTCGGTAGCAAAGGTCGACGCACATTTGTGTGCTCAACTTGAAGAATCTCGTAATGAGATCGTCAGTCTTCAGGATACCATGAATGTTCATTTGATGAACAAATATGCTAAATGCTTTCGTGGGATCTCGTGCATACTGTGGGTTATGATGCATTTGCACCCATTCACGTAATAGGTATTCTGTCTTATCCATCAGTCCGGGTGGATCGTCGAAATCCCGAGCCTATAAAATGTGAATGCATACCACATATTAATCATTTAGGATTAATACTGAGAGAGACGTATATTGTCTTTATTATTTCACGTAATTTTTGAAATAATTGATATTGATATATCATCAATAAACGAAGAGCAGACTTTCAAAATGCGTTTTGACCAAAATTTTATTTTTTTAGTTAGAGATGGCGTAGTGTTCAGTGTTGACTCATATTATAAGCTACTTTGAAATATCCAGAAACTATTTTTTCATCGTTAATTTATATGCTGAAAAATTTTTTAGCAATTTTGTTTAATACTTCATATTCTACTAATTGACGTATTGTTATTTTCTGTAAAGTGCGTAGTTTTCTTGTGTGTATAGGTTTTTTTTCTCACTTTCTAAAAATTACAAATTTTGAACAAAACGTATTTTGGAAGTCCATTTCTCAAATAATCATTAACGCAATACGAAATATCGCTAAAAGGATCTACTTAGATTGAATAATCAGGGCAATCTACTTACTCTCACCTGCAGGATTCCAGAATGAATGTGTGCCGTAGGTCCTGCTGGAGCTCTATCTACCAATACAGCATTCGTATCGTGATTGGCACGTAGCGACTCTACTAGACTTGTCAATCTATAGAGTGAGATTCTGAAATGTGATATGAAATATTTACACATACTTGAATAAATACAGTATGATTACAACTTAATTGAACGAATATGTCACATCCAATATCTGGCATGAAAATCAAACAAGTTTACTAACTGCTCTGCTCTTATTTTGTAATATGAAGATAATTATCAGTATTATCATAATTGTTGAAAAATATACCGAAAACTTTGGTAATCAATAAACAACCATATATTTAAAATTGAAATATGTCTAAAATATATATCAGAAAACAAAAACTATATGACAGTTGTCAGATTGAGAGATAAATATAATTTTGTTTTATCCAAAATAAAAGTTTTCTTGGTATATTCTTTTAGATTATCCAATAGCAGTGAGCGCTTATGGATCTGCTCTGCAACAATCGAGTCTGCTAACGCAATTGTTATGAAAAGATCCATGATGAGTGATCAGAAATCTTATTTTATATTTTGTATTGTCATATTTTTCATATACATCTAGTGTTAGAGAATTATTAATGGCTGTTTTTTTAGCTAGGACATAGAATATTACACTGTGTAAAATACTTCTTGAAACGCAGTTTAGTTTCATAGTGTAGCACCAGAATGCATTATAATCTTTAGTCTTATTTTTATGATTATATTTAGTATATTAATAATAGATTTATGATTTTTATTAAATTGTAAAGCT